ACTGATCAAACTCTACAGAGTAACACCGTTATTCCTGGCTATTGTACTGCAAGGACAGTGAAAGGCTGGGTTTAACTGAATTGGCGTAGCCAGAGTGCCCCTCCCTGTGTTAGATCCACAGAGGGACACAGCAGGATAGATAAACCTGACTTCAAACATTAGGGGCACCAATTTCACTACCTTTCCATAATCTGAGTACTAAGCCCTTAGTGACTCGCTGCAGTGATTAGATGCTCAGCAGATCCTGACGTTGAATATGAGGAATCCACACATGAGAGAACCTCTTGGTCAAACTTTTCTGTCACAGGAGCCTGGTGGCCATCCTGTGGTGCCCTTTTTTTTTTTTTTCAACCAGTGAATTTTTTTTTTTTTCAAGGAATGTATGAAGGCTGAATGAGGCTGAGAGTCTCATTTTCTGAATGCCTGGGGGCATGTGAAGCAGGGGTATAACAGGGGGGAAAGATAGCCAAAAGCAGTTTTTGTCTCCTGTATTCAAAGGCTGAAGGTTAGAGCAGTCCCACATTCACCCTGGATGGCCTTTGGAAGCAAGGGTTACTTATTACACAGGGATGTCTTGCCACAGCATTTTCATCTTTCAAGCAGGCAGCCTTGCACAGAGAATGCAAATGTGCCTACTTGCACTGCTCAGGTGGTGTAAAGAGTTTAGTGTAAAGGAGAATGAGTCCCTGGGTGTTCAGAGAGGAATCTCCCGAGACATTTTCCGTCACACAGGCTTTTTACAGGGGAGTATGCAGTCTGTTAAAACCTTCAAACTCCACTGAAAACATAAAAGAAACTGCAGGCTGGTCTCTTGTGCAGCAACCAGGTCAGTGCATTTCACACTGCTGTCTCCGATCCAGACATCGTAGCAAAGCGTTTATATCGATCAGGATAACTTGTACTAGCTGTTGACGTGAACACAACTCTCATATAGGGATCCACAAGCAAATATAGGGCATAAGATGCCACGGAAAATATTTTTGGCTATGGCTTGTCACCCCACAACGTGTCAATAATGTAACATTTCCTGCTGTTGATTTACCCTGCTTCCAAATCATCACTAACACAGGTGGAATCTCACCATCATAAAACCTGGTGTGATGGCTTTGGCAGTCTATCTCAGCGGCAGAAGGAATGTGAACATTTTAGCAGACCCTGTTTTACATCCCAAGCATGGTGCAAAGCATTAAAGCATCTATTTTTCTTAAGACTAGGTACTTGTCTTAGCTAAGTATGTTGAGAAATCCTGGTAGAACTGAGCCATCAGTGTAGGTATGATTGCTTAAATTATGGAGGATCCTGAAGTGGGTACCTGCCGAGGGCCAGGCTGCAGCGCCGTCTGGAAGAAGGTGCAAGGCAGAAGTGTCCTTGAGGAGCCCAGCTACCGGCAGTGGCACTGAATCACTTCCAGGAGTTTTATATCACACAAAGAAGTCCGTGGGGCTGGTTCTACACAACAAACCCCGGTGAGCAGAGAGAGCGAGGAGCTCTCCCAGGGCTCTGTGCATACACCTGCACCAAAAGGATCAGCAGAGGCTCCCGGGCTTCTGCAAATAGAACTGATATGAGCAGATAACTCTGTCTTGGCAGCAGTGGGAGAGAAGACACTGTCTGTTTATGAGGATAACGGTAAAATCATTTAGGATTTAGCACGATGAATCTCAGATGAAGCAGGTGAGTGGCGAGATCAGTTTGCGTGTACTTGCACGTCAGCTGCCTGGGTGCCAGCGATGAAGCTCTGTGAGACCGTGGCTGCAGAGTTTGGCTATGGGTGGTGAACACCCGTAAATAGTTGATAACGTTACTGAACTGGAGTCACAGATGACACCCATGCACGATATCAACCACGTGTGCCCCAGGCCATGACAGCGCCAACCGCAAAGCATGTTCCTCATTCACGATAGAGGGCTTGGCTCACCGCAGACGTCAGGTTCGTGGACATCCGTATGAGACGCACCAGTAAGGCTGGCATTCTGTGCAGACTGTGGACGCACAGAATTACTCAACTTTGACCAAAAAAAAAAAAAGAGACTTTCTTCCTTTCAGCCTCAGGAACAGCAGTCGGTAGGCTGTTACTTTGAGGGACGCTCTTACTCTCCCTGGCTTTCTGAGCACGAGCTGAAAAGTCCCTCGGAAGCGCAGGTGAGGAGAGGAAGTCGGGCATAAACTGAGCAGCTGCAGGAGGGCACTCTGCGCCTCTCGCTGAACTTCAGGGTAAGCGGATAGAAGGTTAAGGAGAAATAGATGGACTAGTCCATACCCTTGGGTTGCCAAGGCTAATGAAAGTTGTGTTGTGTGGTAAAAGGAATTAGGATGACGTTCCTGAGGTGAATTCAGAGAGGGGTTAGTTCTTTCTGAGGACAAGTGAAAAAGTGGCAAATCAAATTAAAATCCCATCAGAAGCATCACTTGCCCTACACCCTAGTACCTACACTACATGAGCTGGAACGAAATGCAAATGACAGTCAAAAACTAATTTAAAAATATTAGGAAAATCTTCATAATTATGTATATTTCATATGGCCAGACCAGGTAGAAAATCGTGGAGGTTTTGTTTCTGAATCACAGGAAGTCTCTTTCACTTAGTCCCCGGGCTTCGTTACGGGAGCTGAAGAGGTAGATTCACGACTCTGGAATCCACCCAAGCCGAAGGTCTGGAAAAGCTGACACAGTGGCTCGTCCCACGGAGACAGGCTGCTTTCTGAAAAACGCTGGAGAGACCGGATGACTACCTAGCGCCTGCAGCGAAATTTCAGAGAACACCTAGAAGAAGGAAAACGCTCCCTCTCTAGCAGCAACAAATCGTATGAGGTGCAAGAGTTTTAAGCTCTTTTCCTTCTTCCCTCATTCGTAGTTCCCAAACGCTGCCGGTTGTGGAGGCCAGGGGCCGGTTCCAGCCAGCGATGGCAAATGCCAGTTCAGCCAGCATCCCTACGGACGCCATGGGGCGGGGAGGGGGGGAAAGGCATCTGTACTCGGCCGATACCAAACCGGGCTTGAAAACCGCCGCGGGAAGGCTCTCGCAGCCGCTCCCTACTTTCATGCGGCGGGATGTTTCACCTTTGGTGCCCGCTTCTCTCCCTGCCCGTGTTACTTTAACGGGGCCGGCGGCGCGGGCGGGCGGTGGGGGCTC